ACGCAACAGCATGGCGACCGCACCCCTTAAATACGGCAGCCCCTTGTTCTGCTGTTATCTCTGATGATGGATTCGAACAGGAATCCGAAACGTCAGGCTAATAATGCCCTTGTCCCAGAGATCGTTCCTCCTTTGTCAAAAACCCCCTAAGATGTATGGTCTGTCAATGATTCACAAGTCTGTTGATATGTACTTTCTTTGGTACTGTAACGCATGTTTTTGATAAGATTCTTATGTGGAGCTTAAAGCCAGATGTGTAGAGGTTGCCTTAAAACTACAGATACTGGCCTACCTCCTAAATTGTTAACCTGTGAAGACCATACTCCGTAAAAAGTGACTTTGGCAGGTCCTTGTCATCTATCGTAGCCTCATCCGCGTAGATGTCAACGCCGATACCCCGCCGCACCATACGCTCTCCCCAGCCCACTCGTTTCGCACCTACATGTCTTGTCCTTATTGTAGGATTTGATCACCGGATACAGTATGGGGTCCCCTGCCGTCGGAAGACCCTCAGCGTTGAACTGGTCGGAATTTTCCATCATATCACGTCGTCTCCCTGAGGTGTTCACAGGTCGGGCCCCATTACTTCGAGTTCCTGCGCATGAATCCCCGGTTCCGCGAAGTCTTCCAAATCTCAAAGAATTCTAGTATTCCACGACATGCTCTATCTCGTCACATGAAGCCTATGTCTCGTTGGCCTGTTAGAGCAGTGCGCATTCGTCGAAACCCATCATAAGCAACTGTTTCAGGAACTGCGGCCAGTGTTTATCACGTACCGCCTTTCCGACGAAATTGTTCTCATGCACTAACGCATCACACGGGCTTATTTGAGTCTATGCGTTTATTTTACAATGGCTACCGTTGTATACTGTCGCTGTATTAAAACTGGCCCACCTGGAACCAGTGAAACGTATCAAACGTCATCGTTTGTTGAGTCGTCAATCAGTTGGGCTAACTCCATCCTCACCCGAACGAGGTCCAGACTGTAACAGCTTGTTATTAACTGGACTTTCACAACACGTATCACCTTTATGCGATCTGACGGTGTGCGACAGGTGTCAGACGCCCGATTCTACAAAAATGAGATAAGTCACTTGACGGTGATCAAGATCGATTTACTGCGCTGTGCTATCACATTCCGAGAATCGACATCCCTCTCAACTCTAACCGTCCATATGAGATCAGTACCGGAATTTCGGCCGCCGAACTCGCCTGTGACGCTCAATCATATCTCTAATCTGCTGGAAAAGCTGCTTTTCACGCCGACGCCGCTTGTCTCGAAGATGGGCGTACCTACACCCCATTTGTGGATCCAGAGCATTATAAAAACCATCATGTTAGTGCTCGTTTGAAAGGGTTTTTTGGTGGGGGGTGGGGTGGGGTATAATTTATTGAGCCGTCCCAACGGCTTCCACGTGTGGGCATGACATCTGGTATGTTGTACATACCACGTGCGATCTCATTACTCGTTGTTTGACATGTCCGGATAGTCGGTTAATGTATGGAGGAGGGGAGGCAGAATGAGACAGACATTGGAGACTGCATCCTTAAATGCGTGTGCTGCGCTTGCACCTCTCATGACCTGTCACTACTTCTGGCTTGAAATGTTCACAACTGACGAGATATAATCGTCCCTATCAGGACTGCGAGTCGGGCTGCACTAATTCCTTGTCCTTGTGGCTTTTATGGCACCCCCACCGATGTGAGACCCCGGCTGCCTGGTACAAGTATTGTAGACTAAATGGCCGGATGTGGTTATGTAGCCCCACCTGAAGTAAACAAAACCCCGTCACATCTAATACGAGCCCGGCAGCCAAAGGGGTTTTTACAGGTGAGGCCTGGGGAACGCTTAGGCGACGAGGTCAAGTAGTTGTATGCAAAAGAAAAGCTATAGGGAATGCGCGGCTGTGCTTTGAATGGTTGAGAAATAGTTGCGCTAACCCCTAACCCTAGTCCCTAACTACAGCCTCTAATCCTAACCCCTAGCCCTAATTCCTAACCCCGCCCTCAATAGTAGTGTGTCCGGTGGTACCGAGAAAGACAAAGGAGACCGGAATGGCCATTTCTGGCTTATTAGCCGTCATCAATCAGCCATTCCCACCCCAAGTGTGGATCACTTGGGATTCAAACCGGGGATCTTTGGTCATGGAGTTTGCACTCTACCATTGAGCCAGGGGTCCGTTGTCCTGTCGGTTGTGTCGGTACCACCTATGTTACATCTACTACAAGTCGCTGCGTGACTGCTTGCGATGGTTCTAACATGAGCCCCAAGGCACAACGGAACGAGCATGTTCCGTAACCTGATCGGCGAGCGCCCACTGTCATAATTAATAGTCCCGATCACAACCGACAGGACAACGGGCCCGTGGCTCAATGGTAGAGCGTCAAACTCCATGACCAAAGATCCCGGGTTCGAATCTCAAGTGATCCAGACTTGGGGTTGGGTATGACTGGCTGATGACGGCTAATAAGCCAGAAATGGCCATTCCGGTCTCCCTTGTCTTTGTCGGCTCCATCTCATCTGTGTCTGCTACTAGTCGCTGTGCGACTGCCTGCGAGGGTTCTAGTAGGAGCTCCAAGGCACAACGGAACGAGCATGTCCCGTAACGTTACCGGCGAGCGCCCACTGTCACAGTAGTGTGCCCATCAGGTGTGGCCACCAAATCAAATCTTACTGACTAAACTGTAAGTGACACGCGGTTACGGGCTGTTTATCTTTGCCGGACACTTCACCCACACCCAATTCCTCGCGTCATTATACAGTCCTGACGTCCGAACAAGGCAAGGGAGGGGGATGACAGTGCAGTTGGGGCTGCGCAGATCCGCCTCATTATAAAGAAATTTACTCGAAAGATTGATGGAGTCCACGCACTGGTATACTGTCACTCGGACCAGGCAGCGTTTATAATGCCAGAAAACAAGAGAAATCGCTCTTCTTCCTTTCAACCAAGTATATTAGCGTCGCGGACTTTGGTCTATATTACATCCACGTGGATCTAGTTGGGCCGTTACTCCATTCTCATGGACAGGCGCATACCCTAACAGCCACTGACCGTTTCATGCGATGACCGATTGCTGTTCCTACGTCGGATGCTTCCCCAAAAGAGTCGATATGCTGCCTTCTTACTCCACTTAGAGTTGGGACTGCACACAGGTCGGAGGCAACCATTAGGCGCATGTCATGAGGCCTAAAGACTCAGTGCCACGGCAGGAAAAGTCTGGAGTCGTTTACCGCATCTGGTGCAGTTGGGGACAAAGCATCTATGTCGGAGAAACTGGAAGATTACTCCGTACGCTCATGGCCGAGCACGCTGCAGCGGTGAGGGAAAGAAACGTCGGCTCTCAGGGGGCAGCTCATTCCACAGAATCCTGCCATATTTTCAAGTTTCAAGAGGTCCAAATCCTCGCAAGGGGTGACACCCGCGTGAGCCGCGAGCTCCTCGAATCATGGTTCTCAGGCCCGCAATCCATCAACAAGCGCAATGATCTCTCGGTACCCAGTGGTGAAACATTCCCTGAGCAGGGAAATCAGTCACGTGGGGAGGGCGCTCGGGCGAGCAATGATCCCAGTGACAGCGAATCGAATTGCCGAATGATCATCACGTCCAAATCCAACACGGATGATGAAATCGTGGCCATTAATGACTCGGACGCGGACTGAAGAGCTATCATTGTATCAATTACGGCCCTGGCGGTGATCGCGGGAGCTTTTGGTTATATAACACGTGTGGTTCCACCACAGCTACGTATTATAAATACTGCACTCCATGTGCCTCCAATACTCCTGTCTGTGACTGCCTTTGATGATGGGTTCGAGTGAGAATCCGAATTATCATGCTAATACGCTTCTTGTTCCATTGATCACCTCTTCTTCTTCTCCTTCTGATTCTTATTTTGCTTCTTCTTCTTGCTTTGCCACGGTTTCTGGATTCCCGACGTCATTTTTCTAGTCACCGTTACCACCGAACATGGAAGCCAATTTCGATCCAGTCTCCCACATATGTTTGTCAATATGACAAACGTGAGGTCAGAAGGTTAACTGGCGTCCATACTTATACTCTCGGTAACTTCTCGTCAGACCTTCCTATTTATATAGGGATGGGTCGAGTAAAGCATGCCAAAGATTAGGGAGAAATCGATTAACTTTCGTCTTCAAGCACAAATGGGGTGCAGAAATAGGGGAGAGCGTAATAAGAAGCAGTGAGTTCATAGGCGGTGAGAGTTATGGAGAGTCAGGAGAGAGGTAGAAGACAGCGGGAGGCCGCGGAAATTTTCATGCAGTTAATTGACCTCAAGCCATGGTAAACGCGAAGCGCATGTGAAATTCTTCTGTGCACACAAGACCGGCCTGCGTAACCTGATAGGAAACGCTTCGGTTGTTGCCAGCAGACGCTGACCCAGCGACCTAGGGTAGTTCGGTGGGACCTTTAAATCACACGAAAAGCTTCATTGGAGTTCACGTGATGCCCCGAGACAAACATATGTGCGGGACTGGCGCTTTTTACGATGTTAATGTCCTATTTTTTCACCCATGCCAGGAGGTATCTCCGTATTCTTTTGGATAGGTGCCGACTCTTGCAACCAATATAGCCTGTCCCACATAGCCAAAGGAAGAAATGAATGATCACCAAGGTGGTCTGAGAGCAAAACCAATCAGTGTGACGTAGGGTTGGTCGAGAAGCCTTGCTGAGGATCCCAACAAGGCTTTTCGTTTGAGTTCTAAGGTTCCATCGAACTACCCTAAACCACTGAACCAGCGTCGGCTGGCAACCGCAGAAGCGGCAGCTTTCAGATTACGCATGCCAGTCATGTACGTACAGAAGAACCTCGTACAAGCAATTTTCCGCGACCTCCTGCTCTCTCTCTCTCTCTATCTCTCCCCCTGGTCTGACTCTACAACCAGCACTACCTATGAACTCACTGCTTTTTATTACCCCCTGCCCCACATTCCCACACGCTTCTTGTGCGTTGAAGTGTATATGGGCCGACTTCTCTAATCAGTGACATGTTTTGCTCGACCCCTTTTCTATAAATTCACTGGCCTGACTATAATAGCAAAGAACGGAATTACTACTTCAGTTATTGTACGTATATCAACATTTCAGTCCTTCTCGTCGGGGAGTTATATTCAAGCGCAGCTTTTTTTCTTAGATATATCATCCCGATCGATTGAAATCTAAGCGAAAGCACTGCCGTAAAAGTAGCGAATTGTGGGCGTCTAAGGTTCGTCTACTGTCAGAAACTTGCCGATCTGTTGAATCACCGGCGAATGAGGTAGTCGAGCCTGTTCCACACCTCGGTGCACCCCCGCCGAGCGGAAGCATCAGGTCGGATATCACGCGTTTGGGAGAGTGCCATTGGGAAGGAGTTATTGCAGCCTGACTGGCAGTCCATCCGTAGGCCCATACACCAGTCGGCTGTTTGATCCAGTCATCCAACGTATGCAGAGATTGGTGAAAACGGCTGACAGTGGCGAAAACAGCTCATCTCAGCCTGACACATAGAAGACGTGGCTCCTCAAATGCGCACACATAGAATACACATACAAAAGGATCTAGACCGGTCATATCCCACATGTAGCAGAGGAATCACATGGAGGAAGAGCTCAAGAATACACTTCGCACTTACGTGAGAGGTGCCTTCGTTGTGTGCTCATGGAGGTGTTCCTGTGTTTTGCACGTGTTGATGGGGAAGGTGTGATGATTTGGCCATGTCTGCGGCTATTCGCCGTAGGTTTTCATAAAGACGCATGTGAGCGAGGAGGCACATGAGATGAGCGAGTACATTGCGGGCGGACGGGTATGACAATGGTATCTGGCTGTGTGTTGGCGCTCCAGGCACTGTTTGACATTGAAGGCGAAAGAAACAAGGGACGTGGCGGATCCTGACCATTTCGAGCTGGTCGTAGTGCGGTAGATTTTCAAGCGACCGAGCAGGACGGTGTGTTAGGTGAATGTATGATCGCGATAAGGCCTGGCTAATGCCGAGTCCACGTTGATGAGGGCGAGGGTCGTAATGCTGAGGGTGGTGGCTGATGGGACTTTGGAGTGTTCGAACCTGTAAAGAGATTGGTAGATTTTGTGGTGTTAGTGGAGACGTCGGTTGTGTCGGGGATAATGGAGATCTTGGAGAAGGAAACACGATTGCTGCGACAAGAGCTTTATTAGCCTGAGGTTTCGGATTCCTGCTTAGCACCATCATCAGAGACAAAGCAGATACGCGTGGTTCATGCATAAGGGGCTGCAGTATATATAGGATGCAGTAGTCATGCTACCCCATACCTATGAATATTCACGGCTCCCCCCTTCATCGGGGATCGTTACACGTGGTGTGATGACTGTTTGATGGCCGACATTGGCGTCGTTAATTGCTGCAATCTCATCACGTGCGTTGGACGTTGGTGATGATTGCTTGACCATCTGACGCGCTGACCCTTTTGCTGGGAAAAGTGTTCACCTGTGCGCTCCCTGCGTGGCCAATTACTCCGCCTAGGCGAAGTCTCAGCACCGACTATGGAATGGGGAGATCATTGCACTTGTTGATAGACTGGGGGCCAGTAAACCATGACTCAGGCAGCTCCCGGCTCTTGCGGTTGTCACATCTTGAGAGAATTTCAGCCTCATCGGATTCGAATGTGTGGCTGGATCTCGTCGAATGAGCCGCAACTTGAGACCTGTCGTCATTTCTCCGCACTGCTGCAGCGAGGTCGCCCACTTGCTTTCGGAGCTGTCTTCGGGTTTCTCCGACGTTGTTACTTTGTCCGCAACAGCATCAGTTCTGATAAACGACTCCATACGTTTCTTGCCGCGGCAGTGGGTCTTTCAGTTTCATCAACTGAAACCTGATGGTTGCCTCAGGTCCATGGAGATAGCGAAGACCGACAGCAGCGAGCACCGGTGGAAATTTGCCCACTTCACAGCATCCTAAGGCTGAGGATTCCACGGTGATATCCTCGTCACAGTTGTTTTGAACGGAACAAAACTCTCGACATCTACGCTATACTGAGGCAACTGGAACTCCGATGGGGCGGCTACCCCGTAATGGATAGACGTTGAAAGACTGCGTAAACATCTCTTCCACTGGAATGTCACTGTGGTTTCTCGCCAACGGAGAGGTCATACATACTGTTAAAAGGAAACCCTCAATAATTATTTAAAGCTAATGTAACCCCACCGGAAACAGCGGGAAAACCTCGCGCAGGACAAATCGGCCTGGAGAAGAGCGGCGAAAATCGGAGCAGCAATCTATGAAGGCAACCGGATCGCCGCTGCTAAAGCCAAAATACGAGCACACGATTATCAGACGTCCCCGATTAAAAACTCTAACATGCAACCTCTTCTAACATGTCCACATTGCCAGCGAACCGACTGTCTATTGTCTACTATCGGCAGAATCTCGGGACCCAGTGCAACAGCAACCCAACAATGTCGACTGCCGCCTCCTCACCCAAATTCGATGGCACGCCTAAACCAAACATCATGGCATGCACGACGACCTCTGTAACCACCATTGATCACAATACCGGTGTCCCACAACCGTCGATCATCGCTATCTCCATACTTGCCACAATCGTCGCCGTGATTATGACCACAAATCCTCCAACTCCCGCCACAGGTTAAAGCACTCACGACCCCCCGTCATCCACTACCTTCATCATAACCACCCTTAACAACGCTAATGTGGACTCTTTCCCAGCCTATCCCAATTGCGAACGCGCATTTGCCTCACGCACCTTCCCCGTCCGTCTCTTGAGAAACCATCGTAATGCGACCTGAGCGACAGGGCCGGGACCTTCCACATAAGCTTGCGGTATTCGCCTTCACAATCCCAGATCGCATGGACGACAGTGGAGTTCGCCGCAGTTTCGATACACTTGGCAACATCCACCAGCGTGGTCAGCACTACCAACACTAAAATGGCAAGCGACTTAGCATCCCCCAAACTAACTGGATTAGAGTGCCACCGCACACCCCATCTCCTTACGAATTTTTATGGCCGATCACTTGCGAATCCATAGCATCGTGTAATGGAACATTTTCTACACAAGTCTGCCTCACTACACACTTATTCATGCAGACGTCAATGGTGCAAGCGGTAAACGTGGTCGCTTGTGACGGTCGCACGATCGTGTCATCTTCCATTATGCCCCCTCCTATTGCTAAATTGCACGCACTTCAACAGAGCTGAGAGAATGGCATCCGTCCAACTTGGAAGCCGCAGCCAGTTGCTCCTATCGCAAACAGTCAAACAAAAGCCGAAACTATTATGGAGCGGCAGTTGCTGCGGTTAAGAGACTTGTCAGTTTGCAGGACAATTCGGTCCTACTTTTGACTGGGCCCAATCCCTATGACATTCACTTACAGTAGATGTGCTAACTCATAAAATGTCAACCAAAATTTCGAACTGCGTTCTCGTTTCGAAAAGATAAATTAAATAGTGTTGTAAAACTAATCATGATGCAGCATAGATCTTTTATGATCCAGTTACCTCAGGGTGTCGATTTTCGAAAGAACTTATTTTCGGATGCATGCAAAATCTATACTCTGCAAAAAATGACTACTTTTGTAGCATGCAATTTTCTCATTGATTTTCAAAGCCCTTGAAAATTCAATTATATTTCATGGAGAACATGCATAAAATATTTATTCTTTTACTTATTCG